GAGTTAGGTGCCATCTCTATGCAGATGACACACAACTCTACTACTCATTTCCACCTAATTCCAAGGAGGCCCTTGAGTGCTGGATGAGTGCCTGGCCACCGTGGCTATCTGGATGAGGAAGAACAAGCTGAAGATCAGTTTAAATAATGCACCAGTAAGGTCTTTTCGCAAACCACCATGAGAATTTCGGGGGGGGGGGGCTGAAGCCCCTCAGGTCCCCGTCCCCCCCCCGGCTACATGCCTGATTGGACAGCTCTAGTTTCTGATACAGAACACATGCCATGGTCAGTGACAGGGAAGGAGTGGCAGGCAGCATGAAAGGAACAGAAATAAAATAAATAAAATAAAATAAAGAGGAAGGAGGTTCATGGATCAGATTTTCATCCTTGTGGCCCACTTGTGGTCCACGGCTCACAAGTTAAGACAAATTAGAAAACATTATATAAAGGACAAAAAAATGGCTTTATGGATAAAGAAACCTTTTGGGACAAGATACTGATCTCAGAAAACAAAGCAATAACAAACATTTATAAGAGATTACTAGAATGGTCTACAGAAATAGAGTTAATCAAAGACTGCATGGTCAAGTGGGCTGCAAATATTGAACATTCAATCAATCTAGAAGATTGGGAGAAAATATGGAAAAAATTAAACATACACATGCATTTGATCTACAAGAAAACTGGCTAAAAATGATGTACGGTGGTACATCACACCCCAGAAACTGGCTAAATGTTACGCAAATACCAATGATAAATGTTGGAAGTGTGAAGAGCAAATCAGTTAGTTTTATCATATGTGGTGGACATGCAAAATTGCTAAATCATACTGGAAGAATATTCACGAAAAAATAGAAAAGATATTAGATATAAAGATGGAATTAAAACCAGAATACTTCCTTTTAGGAATAATTGATTTTGAATTGGAACTAAACAAAGACAAACTCTTCAACTACCTGGTGACCACGGCCAGAATAAATTATGCAAAACAGTGGAGAATAAAAGAGATTCCAACTCAAGAACAATGGCTAGTGAAAATTGTAGACATTATGAATATGGATAAATTAACTCAATTGATGAGTATAAAGCAGAACTTGACATCACCAAAAACAGACTGGGCACCGATAAAAAAAATTATAATACAAGAAAATCTGAAATGGTTAATAGATTCAACATCTACATTAGACCCCTTGCCAGTTTGGTTCAGAGATTCGGCCTGGACTGCTATCAATATGCGGACGACACCCAACTCCTGTTGCGCTTGGAGCCTGGAGTAATACCTGACAATTTCACCTTATGCCTGGAGGCTTTGTCGAACTGGCTACGTGCTAGCAGACTGAAGGTGAATCTGGCGAAGACTGAGATCCTGTGGCATGGCCGCCTGATAGGTCCGACCCATCCGTTACCTACCTTTGATGGCGCTGCTCTATCTCCATCGCCTACCGTTAAGAGCCTTGGTGTCATTTTGGATTCGCAGCTGACGATAGAGGCTCAGGTTGCTACTGCTGGCAAACAGGCCTTTTTCCATCTACGACAAGCGAGGCAACTGGCACCTTACCTGTGGGATGAGGCTCTGGCAACAGTCATCCATGCCACGGTCATATCTAGGCTGGACTATTGTAATGCCTTGTATGTTGGCCTTCCTATTTCTACGACCCGAAAGCTCTGTATTGTCCAGAATGCGGCAGCCAGGTTACTCACAAAAACGCCCATGAAATGCCATATAACATCAGTGCTGCGGCATCTACACTGGCTCCCAATTGAGTATCGTGGTTTGTATAAGATGCTGGTCCTGACCTTTAAAACTTTATATGGCCAGGGTCCATTGTATCTTAGAGACCGTCTCTCCTTCTACCATCATCGGAGGTCGCCACGACCATCTCAACGCAATCTGCTCTATATACCGGGTCCTAGGGAAGTGCACTTGGAAAGCACCAGATGCAGGGCCTTCTCTATTTCTGCCCCTGCCTTGTGGAATTCCTTGCCTCCCTAGCGCGCCTGGTGGGGACGAGGGACAGGGCCTTCTCGGTGGTGGCCCCGCGACTCTGGAACTCTCTCCCTCTGGAGGCCAGAACCGCCCCATCCATCCTAACATTTAGGAAACGGGTGAAGACGTGGCTGTGGAGTCAGGCCTTCGATGAATGAGACAACACCATAGGACCCTGGATGGAAGTTGATGTAGATCCATCTTAATAGGACGACTGACCACTGTAGTTTTATATATAGTGTTTTTAAAGTTGTTTTTGTAATTGTGATATATGATATTTTAATGAGTGTATATGTTTTTTATGGCTGGAAACCGGGCTGAGTCCCTCAATGAGGTTGAGAAACTCGGTATAGAAAACTGTGAAATAAATAAATAAATAATAAATATTTGAGCAGATTTGAAGGACTAGATTTAGTAAACAGAGTCCCAGAAGAACTATGGACAGAAGTCCGCGACATTGTNTTTTATGGCTGGAAACCGGGCTGAGTCCCTCAATGAGGTTGAGTAGCTCGGTATAGAAAACTGTGAAATAAATAAATAAATAATAAATTGATGGTCAGTCGTTGGCCTGATAGGTGTATTGTGTCCAAATGTGTCAATTTGCCCAGTGGTTTTTAAATTCTGTTAATCCCACAAACAAACATTACATTTTTATTTATATAGATATACACAAATACACACACACACACAAAACACTATCTCCCAAAAGGGACTTGGGGTGGCTAAATGAGGCCTACACCAATGTCTTTCCTTGTAAAATGGTTTTCTGGGCCTGTATTTACTTTTTTATTTATATAGATTTACACAAATACACACACACTAAACACATATACACAGACTGGGCCACAGCAACGTGTGGCAGGGGACAGCTAGAAAATAATAATAACTTTGATTACATCCCACCACCATCTCCCAAAAGGGACTTGGGGTGGCTAAATGAGGCCTACACCAATGTCTTTCCTTGTAAAATGGTTTTCTCGGCCTGTATTTACTGCTGTCCTGTGCCCAGTGAGGCAAATGGAACTCCGTTATTTCAAAATGCATTCAATGCCTTAGTTTTGGATCAATGTTTGGAATTTTCGACTTAAGGAGTGTAGGCTGCACTCATCCTTATGGGAATGGGAGTGATGGCTCTTTCCCTGTGAATAACAAAACTTTATGTCTGTTTTTCATGTTGATAGGATGACACCTACACAGAAAGCTACATTAGCACCATCGGGGTGGACTTCAAAATCCGCACCATTGAACTGGATGGCAAAACCATCAAACTGCAAATTGTGAGTGTCATGTTGGGGCAGCTCCACCAAAGACTCCAAAGGTCAGAGTTTCTTGTCCTGTTTCTCAATTCCAAAATGGCTTTTGGAGTCGGAAGGGACCGCTAGGGCCATCTAGTATTGCAGAGATATCCAATTAACAGCATTCATTAAAAGGTCCCCATCCAATCTCTACTTAGAGGCCTCCAAGATAGGCTGCCTCAAGAAGTGCTGGATTCTTTATTTCACTGTTGAACATTAAAACAGATTCCTAACATTTCAGTGCATTATCTTTTCTCATAGTTAGGAGCCATTGGTTTGAATTGTCAGAGGCTAGAATCACTGGGTTGCTGTGAGTTTTAATAATAATAATCTGGCAGCCAGATTTTGTTCAGGCCAATGGAGACTCCACCATGTAGTTTGAAGCCATTGTTCCGCGTCATAGTCTCCAAGGATGCAGAAAACAAGCTTGCTGTATTTGTCGTGTCAGAACAGAACAAAGCAAACAAAGAGACAAAATACAAAACTTGTGAGTTTGGTAGTTGGTTAAATGTCCTTTGACCAGTATCTGGCCACTTGGAGTGCTTCTGGTGTTGCCGCAAGAAGGTCCTCCATTGTGCATGTAGCAGGGCTCAGGTTGCATTGCAGCAGGTGGTCAGTGGTTTGCTCTTCTCCACACTCGCATCAGCTGGTTTTACCTGTAGTAGGTGGTAAGGGCACCTAGAGCTTCAGAGAGCTTCTGTTAAACCATCTCAAAAGCCCCCTGCTTGACTCTACTCTGTTTTCATTTCGCATTCCAATACTCCCGCTTCCACTCAAGTCTTCTTGTGTGCCACCATGTGAGGGGACCGGGTCTCTCACTCTTGAGCTATCTCCGAGTCTCTCATTTGGTATCAGCCATTGGTTGAGGTTTTGGGTTTGAGCCTGCCACTTTTGGACTCTCGCTTGCTGAGGTGTTCCAGCGAGTGTCTCTGTAGATCTTAGAAAACTATGTCTAGATTTAAGGCGTTGACGTGCTGGCTGATACCCAAACAAGGGATGAGCTGGAGATGTCTCTGCCTTGGTCCTTTCACTATTGGTTGCTACTCCCGGCGGATGTCAGGTGGTGCAATATTGGCTAAACAGTGTAATTTCTCCAGTGGTGTAGGGCGCAGACACCTCGTGATAATGCGGCATGTCTCATTAAGTCCCATATCCACTGTTTTAGAGTAGTGACGTGTGTTCCACACTGGGCATGCATATTCAACAGCAGAGTAGCAAAGCGCAAGGGCAGATGTCTTCACTGTGTCTGGTTGTGATCCCCAGGTTGTGCCAGTCAGCTTTCGTATGATATTGTTTCTAGCACCCACTTTTTGCTTGATATTCAGGCAGTGCTTCTTGTAGGTCAGAGCACGGTCCAGGGTGACTCCAGGTATTTGGGTGTGCTGCAATTCTCCAGTGGGATTCCTTCCCAGGTAATCCTCAGAGCTCGGGATGCTTGTCTGTTCTTGAGGGGAAAGGCACATGTCTGTGTTTTAGATGGATTAGGGATCAGCTGGTTTTCCCTGTAGTAGGCAGTAAGAGCAGAGAGCTTCTGTTCAACCATCTCAAAGCTCCCTGCTTGAGCAGTGATGGCACGATCATCAGCATAGATGAAGCTCTCTGTCCCTTCTGGCAGTGGCTGGTCATTTGTGTAGATGTTGAACATGGATGGAGCAAGCACGCTCCCCTGAGGCAGGCGGTTCTTCTGTTTCCGCCATCTGCTTCTCTGGACCTGGAACTCAACAAAAAAGCTTTATTTATACCCCACCACCATCTCCCCAATGGGGGCTTGGGGCGTCTTACATGAGGCCAAGCCCAGACAACATGTTGTTGTTCATTCGTTCAGTCGTCTCCGACTCTTCGTGACCTCATGGACCAGCCCACGCCAGAGCTCCCTGTCGGCCGTCACCACCCCCAGCTCCTTCAAGGTCAGTCCAGTCACTTCAAGGATGCCATCCATCCATCTTGCCCTTGGTCGGCCCCTCTTCCGTTTTCCTTCCACTTTCCCCAGCATCATTGTCTTCTCTAAGGCTTTGCTGTCTCCTCATGATGTGGCCAAAGTACTTTGACAACATATTACAGCAAAATAAAACATAAGCAATAAAAAACAACAGCATCAAAGTTACATTAAAAACATATGAAAAACAGAAGAGCTGCAAGGCCAAGAAAAAGCCTTGAGAGTAAGGACAATGATCCACCCAGAGGAAAAGTGTTCTTACCAGACATCAAGAGAACCACTGACTGTGGTGTTAGCTGCCCCTAATTGATTCTTCAAAGCCTGCTAACACCTCCCAACAAAGGATCAGACTAACTCAACCAGAGAAGTCAGCCATACGGAGCATCTGATGAACCAACCTAGACACCGCATATTATTGGGGAACACAGAAATGCTGGCCCAATCTCACAACCACCATGTCAGGCTACACAGGGAAGCCACTGAAATCCACAAGAAGCATATGGACAATTTCAACAGAAAGGAGGAAACCATGAACATGAACAAAATCTGGCTACCAGTATTAAAGAACTCCAAAATCAGGACAGTAAATAAAGACAACACTCAAACAACAGGGGACTTTCGGGCAGGAAACAATCAGGGCTAGCTAACACCTCCAACAAAGGATTCCCCCAGGCAGGAAACAACCAGGCTTTGAAGCTGCAAGGCTATTTAATGCTAATCAAGGTGGCCAACTGCAACTTTCACACATCATTCCACAGATATATGAACCCCCCTGCCTAGTTTCCAACAGACCTCACGACCACTGAGTAATGCCTGCCATAGAATCATAGAATCAAAGAGTTGGAAGAGACCTCATGGGCCATCCAGTCCAACCCCCTGCCAAGAAGCAGGAATATTGCATTCACATCACCCCTGACAGATGGGCATCCAGCCTCTGTTTAAAAGCTTCCAAAGAAGGAGCCTCCACCACACTCCGGGGCAGAGAGTTCCACTGCTGAACGGCTCTCACAGTCAGGAAGTTCTTCCTCGTGTTCAGGATGGAATCTCCTCTCTTGTAGTTGAAGCCATTGTTCCATTTTGTCCTAGTCTCCAGAGAAGCAGAAAACAAGCTTGCTCCCTCCTCCCTGTGGCTTCCTCTCACATATTTATACATGGCTATCATATCTCCTCTCAGCCTTCTCTTCTTCAGGCTAAACATGCCCAGTTCCCTAAGCTGCTCCTCATAGGGCTTGTTCTCCAGACCCTTGATCATTTTAGTCGCCCTCCTCTGGACACATTCCAGCTTGTCAATATCTCTCCTGAATTGTGGTGCCCAGAATTGGACACAATATTCCAGATGTGGTCTAACCAAAGCAGAATAGAGGGGTAGCATTACTTCCTTAGATCTAGACACTATGCTCCTATTGATGCAGGCCAAAATCCCATTGGCTTTTTTTGCCGCCACATCACAATAGATATGGATGAATGATGTCCAGGGTGGGAGAGAGAACTCTCATCTATTTGAGTGTGAATGTTACAATTGGCCACCTTCATTAGCATTGAATCGCCTTGCAGCTTCAAAGTCTGGCTGCTTCCTGCCTGGGGATCCTTTGTTAGGAGGTATAGCTGGCCTTGATTGATTATTGTCTGGAATTCCCCTGTTTTTTTAGTGGGTTTTTTTGTATTAATTTTTTATTGATAAACAAAGGTAGTAAAAAAAAAAACATTGAAAGAGGTAGAACAATATTGATATTGTAAAGTAGGAAATAGAGAAGAGAGAAAGGAAAAAAAGAAGAAAAACTTGACTTCTTTTTTTCACAATAATCTTTATTAAATATTTAGTTTACAATTAAAATAAGGGTAAAATGGGGGAAGAGAAAAAAGGTAGGGGAAGGCTAGATAAGGGAGAATTTAATAGAGAGAAGAAAAAGAATAATAATATGAGAAAAATGAGAATATGAAAGTTGTTTTGACTACCTGGAGTCTTCTAGAGGTCAAATTTCTTTTCCTTCTTTCCTCTTCTTCTCTTTCAACCACTGATTTCTGTCTTCTTCCTCTCCTCTCAACTTTGTTTTTTACTATTTAGGTTTGTCTGATTTTTCTTTGCTAAATGAAAATCTTTATGTTTCTTTGTTTGAAGTATTCTGTAACCTTTTCCCAAATTGTTTCTTTCATGTTTTAAAAAACCTTGACTTCCATTCCATCTTCTTGGTTCTTTTCTTCTTTGCCTTATAGTCATTATTTAATTTTTAATTCTAGATTTAACTTTTGTCTCTACTGGTCCCAATTTGTCCTTTTTAACATATTACCAGTGTTCTTCTTCAGTAAAAAAGTCAATTCGTCCATATCTTTTATTTCTCTCAACTTGTCCAGCCATTTTTTAAAGTATTTTTTGACCTCACAACCTCTGAGGATGCCTGCCATAAATGTGGGCAAAATGTCAGGAGAGAATGCTTCTGGAAAACTATTAGTCTTATTCAGAGATGGTAGCGGGGTACAAATAATAATAATAATAATTATTATTATTATTATGTCCATGGTGGTCTCCATTGGCCTGAACAAAATCTGACGGACAGTATTTAAAAAACTCTACATACCTGATATAAGGGTAGTAAATAAAGAGCAACACTCTGAAAACAGGGGAATTCTAGGCATAAACAATCAGGGCCAGCTAACACCTCAAAACAAAGGATCCCCGGGCAGCAACCAGCCAGGCTTTGAAGCTGCGAATCCATTCAGGCCTAATCAAGCTGGCCAATTGCAACATTCGCACTTGCCTCAAACAGACAAGAGTTCTGTCCCACCCTGGACATCATTCTACAGATATATAAACCCCACTTGCCTAGTTTCCAACGGACTTCACAACCTCTAAGAGTGCCTGCCGTAGATGTGGGCGAAACGTCAGGAGAGAATGCTTCTGGAACATGACCAGACAGCCTGGAAAACTCACAGCAACCCATTGGTTTGTATTCTAGTTTCTGGAGCAGTAGAAACCAGTTACAACAGATTTATTATTGTTGTTGCCGTTGTTATTTATACTGCTTTTATCTCTTGACTGTCCTGGTCCTAAACTAGTGTTTGTCATCAGTAATGGGCTGGATGAGGGCAAACAAATTAGAACTCCAGCCAAACAAGAGAGAGGTGCTTCTGGTCAGTTGCAGGGAAGATCAGGTGCTGAGATTAACTACTGTCTCCTTCTCTTTTTCCCTCTCTAGTGGGACACAGCTGGACAGGAACGGTTTCGAACCATCACATCCAGCTACTACCGAGGGGCACATGGCATCATTGTAGTATACGACGTAACAGATCAGGTAATAGATAAGCATCTCTATGTTATCTGTCATGGTATTTGGAGCATTGGGAAGAGCAACAAGGGAAGTGGAGGCATCTTAACAGAAAAACATGGAAGCCTAGTCATTGTACACGCAGAGGCTGGAATCCCATAATAATAATAATAATAATAATAATAATAATAATAATAATAATATCTTGCCAGATGAACAGAAAGGCAACAAATGAAAAAGCAGGGGCACAAAAGACCAGTTATTAATTGACAAAATGATTCTGGAGAACTGCAAAAGCCAAAAAAACCAATCTTCACATGACGTGGATTGACTACAAAAAAGCCTTTGACTCACTCCCAGAAAGTTGGATCAAGTGCCTAGACACCATCGGGATTTGTAAAAATGTTAGCACGTTTATTGAAAATACGATGCACTGGAAAACTGAACTGTTTGTTGGAAATGAAAGCGATTGACTTGTCAACATCAGAAGAGGAATTTTCCAGGGAGACTCATTGTCCCCACTGCTTTTCATCATTGCCACGATCCCTCTGTCAACAATCTTACAAAAAACAAACCTCGGCTATCAAACATCTCAGAAATCTCACAAAATTTCACATCTGTTGTACATGGATGACCTGAAGCTGTATGGGAAAACTGAAACTGAAATCCCGTCTCTGACTAACACTGTCCAAATCTTCAGCACAGATATCAACATGGAGTTTGGTTTGGACAAATGTTCGACAGTGGCACTGAAGAAGGGAGAAATCATTGAAAGTGAGGGCATAAATATGCCCAATGGCCAAGCGATCAAGTGTCACCAGCCAGAGGCCTATAAATACCTGGGCATACTATAGCTGGACAACATCAAACATGAACATGTGAAAACTGTGGTCGGCAAAGAATACGTTCAAAGGGTCAGAAAAATTTCTCAACCTTCCTAATGTGGTGACCCCTTAATACAGTTCCTCCTGTTGTGCTGTCTCCCAACCATAAAATTATTTTCGTTGCTACTTCATAACTCTCATTTTACTCCCGTTATGAATCGTAATGTAAATATCTGATATGCAGGATGTATTTTCATTCACTGGACCACATTTGTCACAAATACCCGATACGCCCAAATTTGAATACTGGTGGGGTTGGAGGAGTATTGTTTTTGTCATTTGGGAGTTGTAGTTGCTGGGATTTCTAGTTCACCTACAGTCAAAGAGCATTCTGAACTTTGCCAACGATGGAATTGAACCAAACTTGGCACACAGAATTCCCATGACCAACAGAAAATCTGGGTGTTGCCCAAATGTGGAGTTTGGGGAAAATAGACCTTGACATTAGGGAGTTGTAGTTGCTAGGATTTATAGTTCACCTACAATCAAAGAGCATTCTGAACCCCACCAACAATGGAATTGATCCAAACTTCCCACACAAAACACCATACTTTGAAATGAGTCACTGGTGCGAATCTCCATCCAGCCTCGCACGCCTTCCCTCGCCCGCACATGCGCACCACATTGCCATGTGCTGAGCATGTGTTTGGGGGTCCCTATGTAGAAACGTCAAGAGAGAATGCTTCTGGAACGTGGACATACAGCCCGTAAAACTTACAGCAACCCAATGATTCCGACCATGAAAATCTTCAACCACACTTCCTCTTATTGTTATACAAGCCGTTTATAAATGAAGACACTTAGAGCTCCTTTGTGTCCAATTCTGGGCACCACAATTTAAGAGAGATATTGACAATCTGGAATGTGTCCAGAGGAGGGCGACTAAAATGATCAAGGGTCTGGAGAACAAGCCCTATGAAGAGCGGCTTAAAGAACTGGGCATGTTTAGCCTGAAGAAGAGAAGGCTGAGAGGAGATATGATAGCCATGTATAAATATGTGAGAGGAAGCCACAGGGAGGAGGGAGCAAGCTTGTTTTCTGCTTCCCTGGAGACTAGGACGCAATGGAACAATGGCTTCAAACTACAAGAGAGGAGATTCCATCTGAACATGAGGAAGAACTTCCTGACTGGGAGAGCTGTTCAGCAGTGGAACTCTCTGCCCTGGAGTGTGGTGGAGGCTCCTTCTTTGGAAGCTTTTAAACAGCCATCTGTCAGGGGTGCTTTGAATGCAATATTCCTGCTTCTTAGCAGAATGGGATTGGACTGGATGGCCCATGAGGTCTCTTCCAACTCTATGATTCTATGAATTCTATGGTTCTATGAATGCTTCTGGAATGTGGACATACAGCCCAGAAAACTTACAGCAACCAATGATTCCGACCATGAAAATCTTCAACCACACTTCCTCTTATTGTTATGCAAGACTTTTATAAATGAAGATGCTTAGAGTTCCTTGGGGTGCTTTTCTACCACCCTACGGTTTGGCTCTTCTGTGTTTCATCGTGTTCTCTCTTTCATTTTGTACAGGAATCCTACAACAACGTGAAGCAGTGGCTGCAGGAAATTGAGCGCTACGCCAGCGAGAACGTCAACAAACTCCTTGTGGGCAACAAATGCGACTTGACCACAAAGAAAGTGGTGGACTACACAACTGCCAAGGTGAGAGCGGTGGAGGAGTAGGGCTTGGCATGGGTGAACCCCCACCAGTTTGTGGACTTTTTCACTATTTGCTGCCTACCTCCTAAAGTGCTAAAACGTAAACAGTGCCTGACATTGGTTGGGATTGAAAAGTGGCCGCAGCAACCATAAAGTGCTAGTTAAATTGTGCTCGTCCTCCTTCTCTCTGAACGCTAAAGTGCATAAGAGTATTTTCAGAAGATTTCCGAAGGAGAGGAAGGTGGGGGCCATTTTTATTTCTTTAGGAAGGGAGTTCCAGAGGCAGGTAGTGATTATGGAGAAGGCCCCCCTCTTGTTTATTTATTTATTTATTTGGGGTTCTTTTACCCCGCCCTTCTCACCCCGAAGGGGACTCAGGGCGGCTTACAAAAGCAAAGGCACAATTTGATGCCTGCATCATAAAGACAATCAAACACAGAATTACATCAATACACAGTTAACAACAAATATACATTATAACCATAAAATCAATAAAACCAAATACAAACCCAATTTCTCCTCTTACATGGTCAGCGTTCGCTACTCCTAGATCTAGTTTTACGTTCCACTTCATCAATCCTGCTGGTCTTACTCGCCTGGTTGTCTGATTTAGTTGCCGGAGTGCCCAAAGGCCTGGTCCCATAACCAAGTCTTCACCCTTCTCCTAAAGGCGAGGAGGGATGATGATGCCCTGATTTCCCCCGGGAGTGAGTTCCACAGGTGAGGGGCCACCACTGAGAAAGCCCTGCTCCTCATCCCCACCAGCCTCACTTGTGACAGTGGTGGGGTCGATAGCAGGGCCTCCCCAGATGATCTCAGACTCCGAGGTGGGACGTAGAGGGAGATACGTTCGGACAGACTTGTAGACAGTTTCCACCGACTGTGCTTGTGACAGGGGAGGACGGACTGAAAACGGTCTCCTCTGTGGACCACAGGGAGATGCGGTTAGACAAAAAGCCTGGACCTAAACTGTTTAGCGGAGTGCTTCTCAACCTTCCTAATGGCGCGACCCCTTAATACAGTTCCTCATGTTGTGGTGACCCCCAACCATAACATTATTTTCGTTGCTGCTTCATAAGTGTAACTTTGCTACTATTATGAATCATAATGTAAATATCTGGTATGCAGAATGTATTTTCATTCCCTAGACTAAATTTGGCACAAATACGCAATACCAGTGGGGTTGGGGAGTGGGGATTGATTTTGTCATTTCAGAGTTATAGTTGCTGGGATTTATAGTTCACCTCCAATCAAAGAGCATTCTGAACTCCACCAACGATGGAATTGAACCAAACTTGGCACACAGAGCCTCCATGACCAACAGAAAATACTGGAAGGGTTTGGTGGGCATTGACCTTGAGTTTGGGAGTTGTAGTTCACCTACATCCAGAGAGCACTGTGGACCCTGTTCTGCCTTTCGACTGACTGTCTTGCTTGGATTTAGTTTCAGCTTGTAAGCTCTCAACCAGTCCATCACTGATGACAGGCACTAGTTCAGGTCCAGAACAGCATTATTTATTTATTTACAGTATTTATTTGCAGTATTGTCCTTGAGTTTGGGAGTTGTAGTTCACCTACATCCAGAGAGCACTGTGGACCCTGTTCTGCATTTTGACTGAATGTCTTGCCTGGATTTAATTTCAGCTTGTAAGCTCTCAACCAGTCCATCACTGATGACAAGCACTGGTTCAGGTCCAGAACAGCATTATCTATTTATTTACAGTATTTATATTCTGCCTTTCTCACCCCGTAGGGGACTGAGGGCGGATTACAATATACACATATATGGCAAACATTCAATGCCAAAGACACACAACAGATATAGACAGACAGTCAGAGGCTATTTAACTTTTCTGGCCGCCAGGGGAGCTGTCGCTTTCATCGTCCATCTGCAACACTGATGAAGTACTTCCACATTCCCTGCATACTTTTTGCTGGAGTCTTTTTATGGCCTCGTAAATTAGTTACTGTATATACTCAAGTATAAGCCTAGTTTTTCAACCCTTGTCTTAGGCTGAAAAAGTCCCCCTCGGCTTATACTCTACTCAAGGTTATTTATTATTTTACTCTGTTATTGTTATTATTATTATTATTATTATTATTATTATTATTATTATTGCATTTATTATTTTACTCTATTTATTATTATCATATTTATCATTTTGCTTTATTATTACATTTATTATTTTATTTTATCAGTGTTATCATTAAATTTGTTATTTTACTCTATGATTGTTATTCCATTTATTATTTCACTCTATTATTATTCCATTTATTAGTTCACTGTCTTTATTATTCTTGGAAGGATACATAAGCACATTTACATTGAAGAAGGTTAGGGCAGTCTTATCTTAAATTACAATTTTATATAAATACTAGCTGTACCCGCCACGCGTTGCTGTGGCCAACCTTCCCTCTCTCTTCCTCTCCTTGTTTTCCTCCTTCCTTCTCTCCCTCTTTCATTCCTTCCCTTTTTTCTTTCCTTCTCTCCTTTCTTCCTTCTCTACCTCTTTCCTTTCCCCTTTTTCTTTTCATCGCTCTTTTTCTCCTTTCTTCCTTCTCTACCTCTTTCCTTCCTTCCTTCTCTCTTTCCTTCATGAGTTCGAAGCCAGCCTGGGTTGGAGTGGGTTTCCAACCAAATTTGTGTAGCCTGTTGTCGACCTTTGCAACCTGAAAGACAGTTGCATCTGTCAAGTAGGAAAATTAGGTACCACCTTAAAGTGTGGGGAGGCTAAATTAACTGATTTATGAGGCCATAAAGAAGACTCCAGCAAAGCATTCCAGCGGGGAAGCATGCGGGGAATGCGGAAGTGCTTCATCAGCATCGCAGATGGACGATGAAAGCGACAGCTCCCCTGGCGGCCAGAAAAAGTTAAATAGCCTCTGTGTATGTCTGTATGTGTTTGTATGTCAAAAATTGGCATTGAATGTTTGCCATATATGTGTACACTGTAATCCGCCCTGAGTCCCCTGCGGGGTGAGAAGGGCGGAATATAAAAGCTGTAAGTAAATAAATAAATAAATTTCCTCCCTCTTTCTTTCTCTCCTTTCCATCCTCTTCCTTTCCTTTTTTCCTGTATCCTCATTTATCTTTTTGTCATTTAGCTTTTTGGGGTTTTTAAGTCCTTTCCCCTTGGGGGGGGGGGTTATGAGTGATGGTCACTCATTAGGGGTATAGTGTCCAAATTTCGTGTCAATTCATCCAGTGGTTTTTGAGTTGTGTTAATCCCACAAACGAACATTACTTTTTTCATTTATATAGATTCATAAACATTTAACCTACTGATGCCTCAGTTAAATGCCTCATTAATGAAATTTTACTGGTATCTATTTTCATTTTGAAATGTACCAGTAGCTTCTGAATTTCTCACCCTCAGCTTATACACAAGTCAATCCATTTTCCCAGTTTTTGTGGTAAAATTAAATGACTCGGCTTATATTCGGGTTGGCTTATACTCGAGTATAGATGGTAAATTAGCCTCCCCACACATAGGTGGTACCTAATTTTCCTACTTGACAAATTGGGTTGCAAAGGTCAACAACAAGCTACACAATTGGTCGGAAGCTCACTCCGACCCGGGCTGGCTTCGAACTTGTAGTGATCTTAATGCAGCTGATGCTCAGCCAGCTGTGCCACAGTCCCGCTGCGATTTTGGTGGAAAGGAGTAATAGAGTCCTTGGATTTTGGTTGAAAGGAGTAATAGAGCTGGGTGTTATCTACATACATTTCACACCAAACTTCCCCTTTCCTTTGTGTCTATGGTGTATTAAAGCAATGCAACCATATCTGCAGCTACATTTGCAACGTTTTCTGCTAATGCTCCCTTGGAACTGATTTGCGGAGCAGCGACTTGGGCCAATTCCTCCAACACATTATAAGTAGGACAGGTTGGCATCTGTGGGAGCTTATTTTGGTAGGAGGGTTTGCTAGCAAGTCGTCTTGACCTAGTTTCCCATCACTTTTAATTTCCTTCCCACCTTCCCTATTTAAAGTGATAGAGGCTTGGGTGGTTCCTTCGCTTTTGGTAGAAAACGTTCCTTTGGGAACTTGTCATGAATGTCTTTTCTAGCCAGGCAGAAGCAGACATTATTTTGCGGGTTGTCTCTTTTCTTTCCCCATTTCGTTCCACTCCTCATGGGGCTTGGCTTCAGAGTCTTTGCTCATTTTGCTCACTTTCCAGCTTGGCCATCTCCTTCTTGAATTGTTTTGTCCAGAACTGGATACTGGGTTATTCCAGATGAGGCCTGATCAAAGCAGAACAGAGTGGGACTAGGACTTCCCTCACTCTTGATACTCCTATCGATGAGGCCTGCAATCACACTGACACTTTGGTACTCTTTGTTGTGACTCAGCTTGACTCTGAGTCTGAAGCTGAGCTCTTTGGGCCTTCTGAGCCAGAATTCCTACAGGATGAGGATGGGGATGATGGGTTACAGATTTCTGTACATGCTTCAGACAGGATTGACGGTGGGGCTGCTGAAGGAGAAACAGCAAGTCATTTCCCAGGGGAAAGGAATGTTAGTGAGACTGATAACGAGAGAGAATTCCCACACGGCCAGGTGGAGACGTCTTTTCCTCCTCACAGTGATCCGGTTCACCTGGACCAAGATAAGGGATTACATAGTCCAGAGGACAGGAGCAGGATTCAAAACGATCTTGACAGATTAGAGAGATGGGCCAAAACTAACAAAATGAAGTTCAACAGTGACAAATGCAAGATACTCCACTTTGGCAGAAAAAAATGAAATGCAAAGATACAGAATGGGTGACGCCTGGCTCGAGAGCAGTACGTGTGAAAAAGATCTTGGAGTCCTCGTGGACAACAAGTTAAACATGAGCCAACAATGTGATGTGGTGGCAAAAAAAGCCAATAGGATTTTGGTCTGCATCAATAGGAGCATAGTGTCTAGATCTAAGGAAGTAATGCTACCCCTCTATTCTGCTTTGGTTAGACCACATCTGGAATATTGTGTCCAATTCTGGGCACCACAATTCAAGAGAGATATTGACAAGCTGGAATGTGTCCAGAGGAGGGCGACTAAAATGATCAAGGGTCTGGAGAACAAGCCCTATGAGGAGCGGCTTAGGGAGCTGGGCAGGTTTAGCCTGAAGAAGAGAAGGCTGAGAGGAGATATGATAGCCATGTATAAATATGTGAGAGGAAGCCACAGGGAGGAGGGAGCAAGCTTGTTTTCTGCTTCCTTGGAGACTAGGACGCGGAACAATGGCTTCAAACTACAAGAGAGGAGATTCCATCTGAACATTAGGAAGAACTTCCTGACTGTGAGAGCCGTTCAGCAGTGGAACTCTCTGCCCCGGAGTGTGGTGGTGGCTCCTTCTTTGGAAGCTTTTAAGCAGAGGCTGGATGGCCATTTGTCAGGGGTGATTTGAATGCAATATTCCTGCTTCTTGGCAGGGGGTTGGACTGGATGGCCCATGAGGTCTCTTCCAACTCTTTGATTCTATGATTCTATAAAGATAATGAATTAATGAGCAGGCAAGATGGTCTGCAATTAAGGCTCCGGAGAAGCACTCGCTTGGCTAGCAAGTGAGAAGCCAAGGGTGCCAAAGGTCAACGCAATGTGTTCATGTTTGCAAAGGGTATTTAGCCATGTAGCTGACAAGCAGGGGTTGTCAGTCCAACGTAGCTCTTCCCATGCAAAGTTCTGTGGATTAACTTTGGCTTTTAGCAGCACGCTTCTGGCTTCCTGAGTCTGGGATTTGGTCCTTGTTTTCAACTGTTTTCCATGGATTAGTGTGAAAAAGATCTTGGAGTCCATCTGTCAGGGGTGATTTGAATGCAATATTCCTGCTTCTTGGCCGAATGGGGTTGGACTGGATGGCCCATGAGGTCTCTTCCAACTCTTTGATTCTATGATTCTTGTTTGACCATTGCTAAAGGATTATGCTTCATGTTTTGCCTTTGGATCTTGGGAACTTTGTCTTTGCATTTAAGTCTTTGTCCTGCCTATGGAACTTTTGCATTTCTTATACTTTGTTTTGATTTTGCCTTTTTCTCAATAAACTACAAAACCTACAGCTTTGGTGTGCTGGTGTCTGGAGCAAGGTGAAAGCTACCCTGAGTTGCAACACTCTTTCCCCTGTGGGCGAGTGAGCTTATTAACAAAAGACCCTCCTCATAAGTGTGCAGCAAAGTAACTTATTAGCAGCAGCATGACCTAGAACCAGTATCCCAAAATGATAAAAAGAATAAAAACACACAAACCAATGTTATCTCTTCCCTAGGAGGCTTTTTAATAGCAAAACAATATGGGTGCACTGTTTACAAGAACCAGATTTCCATAACACGAACAACGTCCTTTACGCTTCCTTCTTTGCTTCAACGCTCAGCTTCTTTCTCATGCAGATAAGCAGCTTTGCTCTCACAGAGCCTCTTCTCACACTGAAGTTACACCGGAGCTTTGCACAGTAGCTTTATAAACACAGCAACCTTCACACACGATGGCCTTCAACCCTGGGCTTCTCTCATACCTAGGCCTACTAACACTGAGGCTTTCTCACACTGAGACCTTTTCACACTGAGGGCTCTCTCAGACAAACACCTTTCTCCTACTGAGGCATTCTCACACTGAGGGCCCTCACAGACAAACCCCTTTCTCCTACTGAGGCCTTCTCACACTGAGGGCTCTCTCAGACAAACACCTTTCACACACTGAGGCCTTCTCACACTGAGGGCCCTCTCAGGCAAACACCTTTCTCACACTGAGGCCTTCTCATACTGAGGGCCTTCTCAGACAAACCCTTTTCTCCCACTGAGACCTTCTCACACTGAGGGCTCAGATAAAAACCTTTCTCCCACTGAGGCAAACTAACATTGAGGCCTACTCGTGATGAGGCCTACTAACACATTGAGGCTTTTCTCCCACAGAGACCTTTCACAGACTGAGGGCTACTAAGCTACAGGCACACCTGCTTATATAGAACTGCACCTTTTGCTGTGTCGTTGCATAAATGCCACCCTTTCAGTGCATGGTTCACATTTTTGTGATTAAAAATACCTAGTTATTTTTTAATATTTGTGACATTTGCAACCTTTTCCTCTCCTTCCTCTTTGCTCAGGAATTTGCGGACTCCCTCGGGATCCCCTTCCTGGAGACGAGTGCCAAGAACGCCACCAACGTGGAGCAGTCCTTCATGACGATGGCGGCAGAGATCAAGAAGCGCATGGGCCCCGGAGCCACCGCCGGCGGAGACAGGCCCAACCTGAAAATCGACAGCACTCCCGTCAAACAAGGAGGCAGTGGCTGCTGCTGAGGAGGGACACGATCGGGATGGTGGGGTTGGGGGGTGGGAGGGGGCTCTGGCTGGAGCCTGGGGAGAGAGGGGGAGCTTGCCCCTCTTCTGCTCGTATCCAGCCCTTTGTGCTTTTTTCCCCCTTCTCTCAAAGGTGGCTTTTCCCGGATGATACCTCGGCAGAGGGGGACGGGGCCTCCCCTTCTTGCTCAGCTGCTTTCAAGGGCTGTTGAGCAGCTTTGGCCTGTTGTTTTCCCCCGCCACTTAACTGTAGGGTGGTGGTCGCTCGGAGGGGGGGAGAGGGGGTTAGGCGGGGGTGGGAGACAGGCCTGATGCTTCCCCGTCGCTCATCTGGCCAGGTCTGGGCAACGGTTCTCCTTGCTGGTTTTGTGTTGCTGCCCTTGCTTCCTCCTCTCATCCTTCCTATCCACACTATGATTTTTTTTCTAAAATAGGGGGGAGCTTTTGTATTCTTCCTTTTTCTTCCGTCTCGCCTGCAGCTCCACAGATCTTTCTGCCGGGACGGCTATGCTGCTGTGTGCTCCTTCTCCAATCCTTCCATTGGTAGTTAAATTGGTGGTTCACCAACATGTCGGTTTCGGATGGTGCCAAGCACTGGAGGGTGTATCTGTCTCTTTTTCTGCCCTATGCTTTTTTGGGGAGGGAAGTGTGCCCTGCGACACTCATTTCCCCACATGAGACTGCTTTCTTTTTGCCAGTTTTGAGGAATTGTCCCTCCACTCTACCACTCCCAAATGACAACATCACCCCCCCCCCCCTCCTCACATCCACCCCTTTCGTCCTTCCTTCTCTCTTTCTTCCTCCTTCCCTTCCTTCCATCCATCCATCCATCCATCCATCCATCCATCCATCCATCCATCCTCTCTTCTTCTCTTTCTTCCTCCCTTCTTTCCTTTCTTTCCTTACTTCCACCCTCTCTTTCTTCCTTTTTCTCTTCTTTCTTTCCTTTCTTCACCATCCTTCCCTTCCTTCCTTTCTTCAGCCCTACCTTCCTTCCTTTACTCCCTCCCTACCTTCCTTTCTTCAGCCCTACCTTCCTTCCTTCCTGTCCTTCCCTTCTTTCCTTTCTTCAGCCCTACCTTCCTTCCTTTACTCCCTCCTTACCTGCCTTTCCTTCCTTTTTCCCCCCTTCCCCCTTCCTTCCATCCATCCATCCATCCATCCATCCATCCATCCTATCTTCCTCTCTTTCTTCCTCCCCTCTTTCATTTCTTTCTTTACTTCCACCCTCTCTTTCTTCCTCCGTCCCTTCCTTTCTTCCTTTTTCTTTTCCTTCCTTCCTTCCCTTCTTTCCTTTCTTCAGCCCTACCTTCCTTCCTTTACTCCCTCCCTACCTGCCTTTCCTTCCTTCCTCCCCTCCTTCCCTTCCCCTCCCTTCCCTTCTTTCCTTCCTTCCTTCCTTCTTTTCATTCCTTCTTTCCTTCTCCTTCCTTCCTTCCTTCCTTCCTTCCTTCCTTCCTTCCTTCCTTCCTTCCTTCCTTCCTTCCTTTTCTTCCCCTTCCTTCCTTTTTCTCTTCTTTCTTTCCTTCCTCCTCTGTCCCTCCCTTCCTTTCTTCACCCCTACCTTCCTTCCTTTACTCCCTCCCTACCTTTCTTTCCTTCTTTCCTCACCCCTCCTCTTTCTCCTTCCTTCTCTCCCTCCCTCCTTCCACCTACCTCCTCCTTCTTCTCTTCTTCCTCCTTCTTTCTTTCTTTCCTTTTCCCTCTCTTTCTTCCTCCTTCTTCCTTTTTCTCTTCCTTCTTTCTTTCCTTCCTTCCTTCTCCTCCTTCCCTTCCTTTCTTCCACCTTCCTTCCTTCTTTACTCCCTTCCTACCTTCCTTTCCTTCCTTCCTCCCTCTTCCTTCCCCTTCCCTCCCTCCCTCCCTTCCTTCCTTCCCTTGCACCATTCAGCGTCCTGCTCTAGGAATGGACATTTTGTGGGACTTCAGCAGGATTCACAGTGGCTTCCCTTAGCTTCTCCCTTTCCCTGCTGGTATGCCTTCCTCTCCCAAGATTCACCGTTCCTTCCCCTCCTGAGCGTCACTGATTCCTTTTCTTACCTTCCTTTCCCCGCACGATTCCACATCTTGCTGTAGGAATGGACATTTTGGGGGCCTTGAGCACCCCTTGGCTCCTCTCCTCTCATTGGTGGCTGGTGTCCGAACTACTTTAACATTTTCGGAAAACTCGACCTGGAAGGGAGGGGAGGTTTCGGGGTGGGCTGTTGCTGCTGCTGTTGTTTGTTTCCCGGGCCTCTGCGTCCCATAGTCTATGAATGAATGTATCTTTGGGCCGCTGGGCATCCCCTTTGCTGCAGCAACAGCTTCAGGAATGGCCCCGTCGAGGCCCTGCTCACCTGCAGCCATTTCAACCTCCTTCTGAACCAAACTTTCACCCACCCACTTAGCCCTCCATCCCACCTTTTCTCCTCTCGATCAATGACCAAATCCAGGCCCATCCGTCCGCCTGGGGCCGGGCCCTGGCTTCCCTGAAAGCTGTATTGCGCGCGTGTCTCGTTTTCTCTCTTTTTAGCACCAAGAACCTGGGTTTGTCTTTTTTTTTCTTTTTTGGAAAATTCCCCCTTCCTTTCTTCCCCTTCTTGTTATTTAAGGAACGTCAGGGACCCCACTGGGCCAGGCAGTGGGAGGAAGATTTTTGTTTGTTGGCTTTCTTTTTCCCTGTTTTTCCACAAATGAAATTTGAAAAAAACAACAACACACATACACAAAAATGAGAGGAAAAGAGAAAAAGGAAACAATATATATATATATAATAAACCATAATACGCCTCTGCAAAATGAGGGACTTTCAGGCCTGTTTCCGTAGTTTGTGGTTTTTTCCTTCGGATGCGATCGGCGACGATCCCCTTTGAAAAACGAAGTGGAAACGTTTGTGATCCTATCCATGCTGGGATCTTATTCATGTCATTCTTCAAATCCAAGTTGTGGGTCACAACTTCCATCTTTTGGAAGTTTGATGGAATGTGTCCAGAGGAGGGCAACTAAAATGATCAAGGGTCTGGAGAACAAGCCCTATGAGGAGCGGCTTAAGGAGCTGGGCATAGCCATGCTGGGACCTTATTCATGTCATTCTTCAAATCCAAGTTGTGGGTCACAACTTCCATCTTTTGGAAGTTTGATGGAATGTGTCCAGAGGAGGGCAACTAAAATGATCAAGGGTCTGGAGAACAAGCCCTATGAGGAGCGGCTTAAGGAGCTGGGCATAGCCATGCTGGGACCTTATTCATGTCATTCTTCAAATCCAAGTTGTGGGTCACAACTTCCATCTTTTGGAAGTTTGATGGAATGTGTCCAGAGGAGGGTGACTAAAATGATCAAGGGTCTGGAGAACAAGCCCTATGAGGAGCGGCTTAAGGAGCTGGGCATAGCCATGCTGGGACCTTATTCATGTCATTCTTCAAATCCAAGTTGTGGGTCACAACTTCCATCTTTTGGAAGTTTGATGGAATGTGTCCAGAGGAGGGCAACTAAAATGATCAAGGGTCTGGAGAACAAGCCCTATGAGGAGCGGCTTAAGGAGCTGGGCATAGCCATGCTGGGACCTTATTCATGTCATTCTTCAAATCCAAGTTGTGGGTCACAACTTCCATCTTTTGGAAGTTTGATGGAATGTGTCCAGAGGAGGGCGACTAAAATGATCAAGGGTCTGGAGAACAAGCCCTATGAGGAGCGGCTTAAGGAGCTGGGCATAGCCATGCTGGGACCTTATTCATGTCATTCTTCAAATCCAAGTCGTGGGTCACAACTTCCATCTTTTGGAAGTTTGATGGAATGTGTCCTGAGGAGGGCGACTAAAATGATCAAGTGTCTGGAGAACAAACCCTATGAGGAACGGCTTAAAGAGCTGGGCATGTTTAGCTTGAAGAAGAGAAGGCTGAGAGGAGATATGATAAAAAGGTAAAGGTTGTCCCCTGACATTAAGTCCAGTCATGTATGACTCGGGTGTGGTGCTCATATCCATTTCTAAGCTAAAGAACCGGCGTTGTCCATAGACACCTCCAAGGTCATGTGGCCGACATGACTGCATGGAGCGCCGTTACCTTCACACCGGAGTGGTACCTAATGATCTACTCACATTTGCATGTTTTCGAACTGCTAGGTTGGCAGAAGCTAGGGCTGACAGCGGAAGCTCACGCCGCTCCCCGGAATTGGACCTACGATCTTTTGGTCAACAAGCTCAACAGCTCAGCGCTTGAACCCACTGCATAGCCATGTATAAATATGTGAAAGGAAGTCACATGGAGGAGGGAGCAAGCTTGTTTTCTCCTTCCCTGGAGACTAGGACACGGAACAATGGCTTCAAACTACAAGAGAGGAGATTCCATCTGAACATGAGGAAGAACTTCCTGACTGTGAGAGCCGTTCAGCAGTGGAACTCTCTGCCCCAGAGTGTGGTGGAGGCTCCCTCTTGGGAAGCTTTTAAACAGAGGCTGGATGGCCATCTGTTGGGGGTGCTTTGAATACAATATTCCTGCTTCTTGGTAGAATGGGGTTGGACTGGATGGCCCAGGGGGTCTCTTCCAACTCGTGATTCTATGATGCTGAGGATCTGGCATTGCATGAATCGAGAGGAACCTCGTTGGATTGCTCTTAGTTCTTCAGCACCTTTCTCTCCAAATAGGAACAGTCCAGGAAGTCCCACCAGCTTCTCTTTGGCCTCTTACAACAAATATCCTCTCTAGGCAATGGTGCCATTTGTATGTTGTGTTCATTTGGTGGAGCTCCTGCTATGTGCCTCTTTTAGTGTTGATTTCATCGTGTCCTGATGTTCTTTTTCTTGCAATTTCAGTGTGAGAGGGTGTATCAGAGCAACTTCTACACAAAGAATGACATTGGACATACAGTCATATACATTCTACATACGAGGGGCATTCATTGAAGATTTCCCCTGACTCACTTCTATTTATCACAGGATGCTGAAACTGCACATGTGTAATTTATTTATCGTGTCAGGAGCAAATTGAACAGTTGTATTGCATTTTTAACAAACAAACAAACAAGTTTAGTAGTTGATTCAATGTCTTTTTGACCAGTATCTGGCCACTTGGAGTGCCTCTGGTGTTGCCGCAAGGAGGTCCTCCATTGTGCATGTGGCAGGGCTCAGGTTGCATCACAGCAGGTGGTCAGTGGTTTGCTCTTCTCCACACTCACATGTCATGGATTCCACTTTGTAGCCCCATTTCTTAAGGTTGACTCTGCATCTCGTGGTGCCAGAGCGCAGTCTGTTCAGCGTCTTCCAAGTCGCCCAGTTTTCTGTGTGCCCAGGAGGGAGTCTCTCATTTGGTATCAGCCATTGATTGAGGTTCTGGGTTTGAGCCTGCCACTTTTGGACTCTTGCTTGCTGAATGTCTCTGTAGATCTTAGAAAACTATTTCTTGATTTAAGTTGTTGACGTGCTGGCTGATACCCAAACAAGGGTAAGCTGGAGATGTCACTGCCTTGGTCCTTTCACTATTGGCTGCTACTTTCCGGCGGATGTCAGGTGGTGCAATACTGGCTAAATAGTGTAATTTCCCTCATGGTGTAGGGCACAGACACCCCGTGATAATGCGGCATGTTTCATTAAGAGCCACATCTGTTTTAGCGTGGTGAGATGTGTTCCACACTGGGCATACATACTCAGCAGCAGAGTAGCATAGTGCAAGGGCAGATGTCTTCACTGTGTCTGGTTGTGATCCCCAGGTTGTGCCAGTCAACTTTTGTATGATATTGTTTCTAGCGCCCACTTTTTGCTTGATATTCAGGCAGTGCTTCTTGTAGGTCAGAGCACAGTCCAGCGTAACTCCCAAGTATTTGGGTGTGTTGCAATGCTCCAGTGGGATTCCTTCCCAGGTAATCCTCAGAGCTCGGGATGCTTGTCTGTTCTTAAGGTGAAAAGCACATGCCTGTGTTTTAGATGGATTAGGAATCAGTTGGTTTTCCCTGTAATAGGCAGTAAGAGCACCTAGAGCTTCGGAGAGCTTCTGTTCAACCATCTCAAAGCTCCCTGCTTGAGCGGTGATGGCACGATCATCAGCATAGATGAAACTCTGTCCCTTCTGGCAGTGGCTGGTCGTTTGTGTAAATGTTGAACATAGATCCCCTGAGGCAGGACTTTCTGTTTC